TTCTCTCTCTCTCTCTCTCTCTCTCTCTCTCTCTCTCTCTCTCTCTCTCTCTCAGTTTTGTGAGACAGGGTTTCTTCCCTGTGTAGTTTTGATGCCTGTCCTGGATCTCGCTCTGTACACCAGGCTGGTGTAGAAATCACAGAGATCCGCCTGGCTCTGCCTCCCAAGTACTGGGATTAAAGGCGTGCACCACCACTGCCCAGCCTATTCTTTACATTTCTATTCTGTATATTCTAACCACTGTATTAGAAGCCCCTCATTTCAAAGGCTTATGTTGCCTATTGAGCCACAGTCCTTATGTGTTCATGCTGAACAGCTCATCTCCGCTCTCCAGCGTGCTTTATGCTAATTACTAACTGTCTGACCTTCCCTAACTCTTAATGTTCATTGGATACATTTCTCTTTTTGTCTTCTTTCTCATGGTTTCCCCTCCATTTCTTCCACATGAGTCTCCTTTCCCTGCAGACATTCCCAGTTTGCTTAATTCCTGCTATCTTTGGAGAAACTGTTGCTCCCATTCCTGTTCATACCTCTCTACACAGTTTCATATCTCTCTATGGCTGCTTCCTAAAGAGTAGCCTTTGCCCTTAATAAAGCTTGCTGTGTTCCTAGATTTCACAAAATATCAATAAAACATGAATTTTTAAACATTTTCTTCAGTTTTGTAATTTAAAAGAAACCAGAGCTGGGCAGTGGTGGCACACACTTTTAATCCCAGCACTTGGGAGGCAGAGGCAGGTGGATCTTGGGAGTTTAAGGCCAGCCTGGTCTATGGAGTGCGATCCAGGACAGCCAGGCACAGAGAAACCCTGTCTTGAAAACAACAACAACAACAACAAACCCCAAAAAAGGAAAAAAAGGAAGGAGGGCAGGATGGAATAGAGAGGGGAAGGAATGAAGGAAGAGAGAGGAGGAGGGAGGGAAAGAGAAAGGAAAGGAGGGAGGAAGGGAGACTAAGATACCCAGAAGATAGATGAAGCTGGAAGGACTGGAGACAAAACAGTACTTGACTTCTGAGAGCTCTAGTGTGGGGTTCCTTGGTGTAAAGGATTGATGCCAACATCTGTCTAATGTTTCCTACTGCCTTCCCGTTACTTGGTGGGTCATGATTCAAATCTGCATATAAAGGCTGTGAAGAGGTCAGAAGAAAGGCATAGAAGCCATCACCTCTTCCTCTACTGAATGCCCACAGGAAGTGCTCCTTTTGATCATGGCAGTTGTGAGTGGACCTTCATCTCCTGCCTCGTTCTCTGAATTCTCAAGGGACTTTACTCTGTTCTATTT